ACTCATCTCTGACGGGTCCATCCATCTGTCACCTTTTCTGTTACGTTGCATCTCTTGTCTCTCAAACTTTTACTCTCTGATCTCACTGTTGATCCCCACGTCGACTTCACGCTTCGTGCACAGATTCACTTCTACCATGCCCCCCCCCCCCATCTGATCCCTCCTTAAATGCATCTGAACAAAGGAGGGGGGGATGAATGCGCTTCAAGGCCGCTGCGTCTGTTTGATAAATATCCAGCGTGTCTTTATGTTCAGAGAGTCTCCGTCAGTCTGACCTGAAAACCTTTCTCCTCTTTAATAGTCTCCGCATGGCCGGGGGATGAGAGGACAATGTTCAGGGTTCACAGTTTCCATAATTGCTCTCGTTACAGATCTCCACTTCCTGCTCTTGCTTTTCCCGCCACTGGGATCGTCTGCCCCGCCCCTGATCTGTTGTACCTGTGTCTCGTCCTCGTGTGTTTAGTGAACGCAGGAAGTTCCTCCGCTTATGGAACGAAATGATTCTTTACACACTGATGTGTTTCCGTGAGAGAGTCCGTGCTCTTTATGTCACACCTTCTTTCTGTGTCTGTGTTTCTGCCCCCCCACTGCTCCAGTCGGTTTCAGTGGAGTCTTATTGAGTCGATGGTTCCGTGCGGTTCCTTCCTCCTCTTCTGTTTCATGATGGCTGAGTGGAGGTCAGACAACAGGAGCGAGTGATGAAAGCTGCATTCTGATCTGTTGCTCGTATCGACTCGAGTCTTTTATCGTGAAGAAACAACTCAATTAATTCAAACAAGTTTCCAGATCAAAGCAGCGTCCAATCAGGAGGCTGCTCTCCTCTGACTGCTGAAGGCACAAACGAGAAACAGACAGACGCTCTTTGTTTTCCAAGACAGACGCTGACCTTTGGATCTGAGTGCAGGTAATAGCATCAATTTAACAGGAGGAAGATTTGTGAGCCTCTCGGATGCTCTCTCTGAAGCCTGCTGGGGGGGGGGGGATGCTCAGGGACTGGAGGCTGGAGTTGGGTAATACAAGACCAAATATACTAAAGCTAATATAAACCCTGCCGGCCTTAACGGGGTTAAGCGGGATTTGGATGGAGGGAGTCAGAGGTTCTAGATGTGAAGCAAACAAAGGAATTTAGGGCGAAGGCCAGAAAAACATCTGCACAGATGTGGGCGCCTGCCGAGGCCGAGTGCGGGGGCGGCGGCGTCCTGCCGTCTGTTACCAGTCGACTCCTGTGATCGTCAGTTTCAGCTGGAGCTTGATTCAGTGTGGAAGAGTTTCCTCAGAGCAGAGTCCTGACTTCAACCAAACATGAGCGGAGAAGAGGAAGGAGCTGTTCACCACACTTCACGTTCACTTCAGTCATTCACAGTTCTACTGTTCCAGGATCAGCATGAAACTCTCCAGATTAAATCATCTCTGAAGAATGTGGTGAATATTTGACTCAGATAAAAGTTTGTGTTTGTTACCAAAGAAAATCCGTCAACTACATCGATCAACAAATGTTGAACAGTCCCATCAGTTTCTACCAAACGTCCACAGACCACATCTGTAAAATGAAGCTTCTCATTATGACACATTTTCTATCTGATAAAGAACTGACATTAACGTCCGTCATTTTTCATGTAGCTACAGATTCATTTACTATTTTGAGCAGGTATTAAAAACCTACTTTCTCCATTTCAACCTGTTCTAGTTTCAGTTCGCACTGTTTTCCCTTCAAGATATTCTTCCTCTAAATACTAGACTTTATTATTTGGGACTTTCTAAAAAAAAAAACTAAAGAATCTAGGACCCGTAAAAAGAAGCGTTACCACGATATAATTTAAAATATGTTTAAAATAGTAAAGAAAGTACGTTTGTGCTCTAGAACTGAATCTCTGTGCGTCACTGTCGGACCTCAGTTCTGCTCTTGTGGCCGAATGGGATCAAATCTCTGCAGCCAGATTCTGGAACCTTTGTGCAAACTGTGTCCACAAACTTGTGGCCGTTTGATGTGTTAGTAAGTGATGTCTTGTGTGAATCCCTTTAGAGTTGTGTACTTGTTGCTCTGCCCTCACACGGTCAGCTGACACGTTTCTCGGCCCGTTCCTACAAAAATGTGCCCCTCCCCCTGCCCTCCCACCCTTCCCACAGCTCCTCGACTTCCAGCCAAGTCAGTGGAAAAAGGCAAATGTTGGGTGGTTGGACTTTAGGTTCGGTAATCCTGTTTTTAATCCTGCTCAAGAGACGCCTGAGGGAAAATTATTCAAACAAAACAAACGGATGATTTTTCAGTTTCTTCTTTTCTCTACTTTCTAAATCATCCCTTCATACTTCTCCGAAAGCTTCGTCACGTAGACTCACACAGGATGAAGTCTTTGTACTGAAGCTGTGGCACCAAGCAAACTCTGTCCTGACGTGTGACAGCCTCTGTGTCTGTCCACTTTACAAAGGGAATAGAGAAGTCTGTGTCTTCACTGTCCTCTGTGTCCCTCTGTCCCTCTGTCCTCTGTGTGCAGGGTTAAGTGCAGCCAAGCTGTTGAAATCTCAAGGACTGAACCCTGTGGTGCTGGAGGCCAGGAATCGAGTCGGGGGTCGAACCTTCACTGTGCAGGTAAGAGCCCCCGCTCTCAAACATCCCTAATATTAATAAGTAGAATGTCACCGTCGCTCACACCAGTAAATTAAACACTCACAGACATCAGTCGTCAGGTTTTACTGTTGAAACTCAAGTGCTGGAATGTGATTATATTTTATATTTTTCATCTTCCTTGTGTTTGCATGTTCTTTGTGTGTTTTTCAGAATAAGGAGACAAAGTGGGTGGATCTGGGCGGGGCTTACATTGGACCGACTCAGAACCGCATCCTCCGATTGGCCAGAGAATACAACGTGAAGACCTACAAAGTCAACGAGCAGGAGAAGCTGGTGCATTATGTCAAAGTGAGTGTCTCGGGATGTGGTGTTTTCTTGCTGTTGTGCAGAGACGTGTTCCTTCGGTCAGGCCGTCCTCCGTCAGTCACTTGAATGCAGCACACTTTAAAATGACTTGTAAACCAAACACGAGTCTCACGCAGCTGAGACGGGGACTCGTCCAGCAGCTGCACCAGCGTCGCTCTGACTCTGCTCAGAGAAGACAAGGTAACATCTTGTGCTTCCTGTGATTCCCACATGTCTGCTGAGCAGCATTAGTGACTGCAGATGCTAATCTGAGCCTGAGGGGCTTCTGTAATGCACTTTCTCTTTTCTCTGAGTGGTTGAATGGAGAGTGAAGCAAACAAAGAAGGAAGAAAGAAACGAGGAGACACTGCGGCCATGTTTCTTTGTTCTCCTTGTTCTTTGCTCCATATCTCATTATTGTGTCGTTAACACAGTTGTGTTCTTACCTGATTTGATTTGCTGCCGTGTGTGTGTGTGTGTGTGTGTCTGTGTGTGTGTGTGTCTGTGTGTGTGAGAGAGAGAGATACAGACAGAGAGCTCTTATCTTTTTATCTCTTTCTAGGCTTTGTTCAAGTCAATAAATCTCAACTTCAGAGATGGACTCTGAGCCTGTGGCCGGGGGTTGTGCTCACAGACTCACACACACAAACACTTTCACTGAATTTCATAGAGAGCAGTTTTTATTGCGGAGTACTCACTTCCTGTTCGTGCATGAGGAGGCTGGAGGATGTGGAAATACTTCTACAGCCATGACTCAACACAAAGTTGAATTAAAGACTTAATGAACAGTCAAGGTTATAAAAAGATTTATATGGACGACTTTAAAACCAGAGTCTGAGTGAAAACCTAAAACATCTCCGACCCGTCGAGGCCTGGACTCTACACGACTCTCCTGTCGATCACAGTGGGGCCTCCGTGAGGCCTCGACTTCCCATAGATGCTTGGATTAGATAGAATTCTGGTTTAGTCAACATCTTGAACTCAGGCAGTTTATTCTGACCCAGTTTGCAGCTCGGCAGAGAGCCGTGGTGTCAGGGTCGCCTGTTTCCATGCACGCTGCAAAAATATTTACTTTCTGTGGCATGTGTCCAAGTTACAGCCGAACGTTGAGAGAGCTTCACGCTGCTTCTCTCAGTGCCTCCTGCTGCCATCCTTTACCCATGATGCACCTGACCGTCCATGTAGAGGAAGAGGTGATTCATCAGACCAGGGCTCGTTCTTCCATTTCTCCTTGGTCCCGTTCTGATGAAGGTTCTGATGAACCACCATGAGGTTTATCGAGTCTCAAGATTCCCGAGGGCTGAGACGAGCGTGAGCTGTTCAACTCCGCCCGACCGCCACCCCCATCAAGCTGAATTTTCTTTTCTTTGGAGGCGGGGACAGCGGCTGATGCTCCCGTCCTCGTGGCGTAGTTTTTACTTATCCAAGTTTCGAGACTAAAGAACGACATGAACATCAGTGAGCCTGTCGCAGCTCCACCGTTCTTCTCGTGTGTGTTAGTTGACGATCGGCAGGGAACACAAGACGCTTTCTAAGAATCCACATCGAACTGTGATTTCACTGATGTAACACTGACCCGCTCCTGCACAGCTGTGAAATGTCACCATCGTGACGACCGGCGCTCACAAGAACAATGAATGTTTGGTTGAGAGACTTTTAATTGGACGGAGCTTGTGTTGTCAGGCGCCGCCCGAGCTCTGAATCCGTCCACGCTGGTGTGAGGGAGCTCCTGTGTGAGTGCGTCTCTTAGCTACTATCTCTGCTGGATCCACTCAAAGACCTGACACTCACACACTCACACACACTCACACACTCACACACACTCACACACACACACACAGAAGCATGCGTGCCACTCGTAGCTTCCTGGCTGGTTACCATGGCAGCGTGTCTCATGGAAAGCTGCTCAACCCTATCAGCGTCAGCCGGCGTATTCGTGTGTGTGTGTGCATACATGCAGTGTGTGTGTGTGGTCCTGTGTCTTCAAGCTGCAGGTAAAATACTGTGAAAGCTCCATCAGGACGTTAGAATGCGATGAAGACGTAAACATGTCCACATGATGCGACTAAGCTCAGAATCAGAACACGCTGTTTACATGTCAGAGTCTTATTCAGATTATCGTCTTAATCTGGTTAATATCAGAATACCTGCATCCATGTTAATGTGTCACATGGTCTGTCCCACGTGTCCTGCTGCCGTAGATATTATACATATTCAGAAATATTCACCTGTTCACCAGCTGAGTAAACTCAAACCAGAGGAAGGACCTCGACACACTGAGCTGGTTTAATCTGCAGCCGATGTTATTATGATTCTGCTGATGATCGATTAACGGGCTAATTGTTTGATACGTGGAAGAGACAATTCTCAAGGACCGTTACAGAGACAGAACGAGTTCAACCTGAGTGTGTGTGTGTGTGTGTGTGTGTGTGTGTGTGTGTGTGTGTAGTTGGATCAGAGAACGACCTGGAGCTGCCCAGGGCTGTGATGGGTCCCGCCCAGAGAGACGAGACGTAAACACAGCACGTTAAACTTTTCTTATCTCTGCACAAACGGCCCGCGGGGGAAGAAAGTGATCTGAGAGACAGTGTACGAGGAGCTGGAGAGACAGTGAAGCAGCATGTGTCCTGAGCCATTGTGTGATTAGGACTAGCTTTCTCCCGAGCCGCGGAGCTAATCAGCTTTTCTATGGCAGACTGTAATCCAAAGGGCCAGTGCTGGCTTCCCTTATCAGTCATCTTGCATCTGCAGCTCTCAGCACGGGTTTATTAATGAGGCATCACTATCAGAGATGTGGAAACAGACTCTGATTAAACACTAGACCTGGTTATCAGAGATTGAGAAAGAGCGTCAGATTGTGTCCTCGCTGCAGCGGCGACGACGTTGTGTCCGTTTGCACGTTCACACGAGCTGAAGTGAAAAGGAGGAACCACAGACGTTTCTAAATATTTCTCTAATGCAGAAATCAGAGTTTAGAATAAAAGACGAGATCTTTAATTATTCAGTCCAGGTTAGGAAACCTAAAATGAGAGGGAGGTGAAAATCCAGAAACACGAGCAGCAAAATGCAAAGAATTCTGGGAAACGTTGGCTTGAGAAGGATTCACCTGCTGGAGGCTGCGTTTCTCTGGGATGAACGACGCACTCGAAGGATCGGGGCTTTGTATTTGTATTTGGTCTCCGAACGCAGCCCCTGAATTTACTGTACGAAGGTGAACGAGGCATCTCGGGCGATCGGGACATTTTGGATTCACTTCCTGGAGCGGTCATGTCGTCCATCTTTAATTTACGGTCTACGTCCTCGGAGCTCAACAGGATTAATCAGCATGTGTGGCTGCAGGGGGCGCTGTTGCTCAGTCTCGTCACGTGGAGCTTCAGCTGCTCTCAGATCTCTGGGATCAGAATATAAAGATGAGCGTCACAAGATAAACGTGTGAAACACAGACGAGCGTGTGGCGTCTGAAACTGTCGTCCATTCTTCAGCACAGTGACTCGTGTGTTCAGTCCAGTGAAGCTGAGTCGCTGAAGTGGACGCAGATGCTGCTGCAAACACACACACACACACACACACACACACACACACACACCTCCCCCCATCCGCCCATCCTCCTCCTGTCTTCACTCGGCCGGCGTCTCCATGGTGACAGACCTGTTGTTCTTTCTGTTTGTGTCTCTTGAGTTTCAGTTTGATAAGAACCAAACGGTGCGAGTCATTAGAAAGTGGAGTCCCGTCAGGATTGGCCGTGGTGATATTTGTCAGGTAATAAGAAGCCGAGCAGCAGCAGGCGTCCGTGCGGTCGATGGACAGTGACGTCGTCATGGCGATGGATGTTACATCAGACCTGGTCGTAATTAGAATGGAGCTGTTTCTTGTTCTCCTCCTCACAAACACAGATGACACACGTGCACCGAGCGACTCGTCTTTTATTTCACGACTTGACTCTTTATTGATCTTGATTAACGTCTGCACCGTCAGCTGTGTGGTTGAGCTGAAGCCTGATTTTAAAGCATCACTGAAGCACAAAGCATCCTGGGATAGTTTGTCCTTCGTTTCTCTGGGATAGAAGGACGTATATTATTATATATAATAGATATATATAGAGAGAGAGAGAGAGAGAGAGAGACTGCTGCAGACTGAGCCACAACAACAGAATCCGAGTGATTCCAGTTTAATGGGCTTTAAAAGAAATGGACCTCTCAATCTGAATGTGAGACACGTTGTCCTGCAGAGACGTTTACAGCAGCTCACACGCTTGAATGAACAGGTGTCGCCCGTTATCTCAAGTGATCGACGGGAAAAAGAAAATGTTCTGGATCAGAACACGTCAGTGAAGAACACACGTGGACGTCAGAATCCAAGAAACGCTCTAACGCTGATGAATCGCGTCACAGTTTGTTGGCAGAAGATCTATAATATATTATATTATCTGGTTATATGAGACATCTGTGTTTTCTTTGCTGACGTGAACACTTTTATTTTCCAGAATAAACAATACAGATCTAAAGCTGCATTTATTTTGACATTTAAACATTAGTTTATATTCTTCATTATCTATAGTTGTTTTTAAGTTTATGGTTAAACTGTAAAATATCAAACCTCGCTCATTTCTTTATCATCAGGGTTTAATTATAAGAATATTTCTATCGGCCGACGTCAGTCTCTGAATTCTTTAACATCTGCATCGGCCTCGGTCCAGCTCCACTTTGAGTTTTAGTTCGTGATGGAACCTGAACGGAACCAGTTGAAGAACCAGATCAGATTATGAGGAAAGGATTTATAGAGCGAGTGTTTGCTCTGTGTCAGAGTTTCACTGGCAGAGATCCTCTGATAAACAGAACATCAACTCTCTCGACAATTTCCTTTACGGGAAAAACTCTTGAAGAATTTAAAACATCGATATGTAAAGTGAGCGTGAACATGAAGAATTCTGAAGAGCAGCTGTGTAATCTGCTGTGTTGACTTTAATAACCCTGATCCATCATGTATTAGTTAATCAGTTGTGAGGTTGAGAAACAGATCAAGAGTCCGTCACATAAACAACGTGTGGACGCTCTTATCGGGTTTAATGAGCCTGAATCAGGAATTGTTGCACAACCGTTTACCCAGCTGACCCTCGACCCTCTTTACTGCTCATCGTCACGGTAACTGGAGGTAAGGTTAGGTCGACTGCGGTTTCAACGTGTAAACAGCCTGAGAAACTCATGTGAATATTTATGTCACAGATTTAATGGTAAACGAAGCTCACGGATGAAGAGTCTTATGTTTCAGGAAGTATTCTTTAATAAAAAAATAAGTTTTTATTTGACGTCCTCACCAGGACGGAGCCGAAACATGATATTGGATTTGATCATGAATGTAATATCTGTTGGAATGTCTCTGATGATGACGATGTGTGTTGAACAGGGAAAGTCGTACCCGTTCAAAGGCTCCTTCCCCCCCATGTGGAACCCCATCGTCCTGCTGGACTTCAACAACCTGTTCAGGACGATGGACGAGATGGGCAAAGAGGTAAAGTTCTTCTGTTTCTACTCCTCCTCTCTTTGAATTCTTGATCTTTTATTGAAAATATAATCTTATATATTATTCTGTGTGTCAGATTCCCAGGGAGGCTCCGTGGAGAGCTCCTCACGCTGAGGAGTGGGACAAGATGTCCATGCAGCAGCTCTTTGAAAAAATCTGCTGGACCAGGTAAACACGAACCGAGAGACGGAGTCGAGAGACGTTCATATAAAATCATGCTGCAGACGATGTTGGGAAAATTCAAACTTTGATTTTTAGTCCCTCTCTCCGTGTAGCACTGTTCTCCGCTTCGCCACACTGTTCGTCAACGTGAACGTGACGTCTGAACCTCACGAGGTGTCGGCGCTGTGGTTCCTCTGGTACGTGAAACAGTGCGGAGGAACCATGAGGATCTTCTCCACCTCTAACGGAGGACAGGTGGGTCGCTGCACACTCTGAGTGAACCTGAGCGGAGGAGGGTGAGAACTCTGTCCTCCTCAGTCTAACAGGACAAGTTCAGACTCGCCGTGTTCAGGTTTATTTAGCTCCAGTGACTGGCAGGAGAATTCCTCCCACGATGCAACAGTGGAATGCACTGAGAACACAGAGATGTTGAAACTGCCCATATGGAAAAGTTCACCGTCTATTTCATTTTGCGTACGAGAGCTTGGCAGCACTTTTCCCTCCTCTGTCATTCAGCCGTCGTCGGTCTGAGCTTCTCCAAAATAAACTCTCCCTCTGGTTCAGGAAATGTTTAGAGGAATGACGGAGGCTGGATTTAGGAGGAATCAACAGACCTTTATCAGCTTCTCTCCTGAATGTGGGTTTTATTATCGTGGAGGAGTCAGGATCAGACTGGATAGAACAAATGTAACCTGAGAAAATAGATCATAAAAACCAGAGATCCGATCTGTCGGTGGTTTAATCTCATGATGCTGACCCCCCCCCAATGCTCTCTCTCCGTCCTGCAGGAGAGGAAGTTCGTGGGCGGCTCCAGTCAGATCAGCGAGTTCATGGCGAAGGAGCTGGGAGACCGCGTGAAGCTGCAGTCTCCGGTTTACAGGATCGACCAGAGCGGAGACCTGGTGGTGGTGGAGACGCTGGACAAACAAACCTACACGGTAACGAGCGGAGCACGTCTCCTGCAGCTGGAGAGTAACTAAGTACATGTACTCAAGTACATGTACTCAAGTACAGCAGCAGACTGGACCTGTCTACTCCACCACAATACACAACTTTATACTCTATTATATTTATTATTGTGTGTACTTTTGATGTCAGATCTCCAGTTGATGGAGTAGATGGAGTAACTGTGTCCAACATTAGTAGTAGTAGTAGTACCCTGTCACAGTATTTGTATTTGTACGTTACTTATAAAACTATGACACTTCTGAACCACTAACTTCGGCCTATAGAGTTGCTCTGTGCTGCCATCTGCTGGTTGCTAGGTAACCTGCCTTACAGGTGATGCAGCTCACCCTGTCTTCTCTCTCTCTCTCTC